CACCCTCACCGCTCACCACTCACCCTCACCACTCACCCTGACCACTCACCACTCATCCTCACCAATCACACCCTCACCAATCACCACTCACCCTCACTGCTCACCCTCACTGCTCACCCTCACCACTCACCCTAACCACTCACGCTCACCCTCACCACTCACCCCTCACTAATCACCATTCACAACCGCCACTCACCCTCACCACTCACCACTCACCCTCACCACTCACCCTCACTACTCACCACTCATCCTCACCAATCACACCCTCAACAATCACCACTCACCCTCACCACTCACGCTCAACACTCACCACTCATGCTCACCACTAACCCTCACCACTCACCCCTCACTAATCACCACTAACAACCGCCACTCACCCTCCCCACTCACCCTCACCCTCACCAATCACCACTCACCCTCACCACTCACCCTCACCACTCAACCTCCCCCTCACCACTCTCCCCCTCACCACTCTCCCCCTCACCACTCTCCCCCTCACCACTCTCCCCCTCACCACTCTCCCCCTCACCACTCTCCCCCTCACCACTCTCCCCCTCACCACCACTCTCCCTCACCACTCTCCCCCTCACCACTCTCTCCCCTACCACTCTCCCCCTCACCACTCTCCCCCTCACCACTCTCTCCCTCACCACTCTCCCCCTCACCACTCTCCCCCTCACCACTCTCCCCCTCACCACCACTCTCCCTCACCACTCTCTCCCTCACACACTCTCTCCCTCAACCACTCTCCCCCTCACCACTCTCCCCCTCACCACTCTCCCCCTCACCACCACTCTCCCTCACCACTCCCCCCTCACCTCACCACCACTCTCCCTCACCACTCTCCTCCCCCTCACCAATCTCTCCCTCACCACTCTCCTCCCTCACCACTCTCCCCCTCACCACTCTCCCCCTCACCACTCTCTCCCTCACCACTCTCTCCCTCACCACTCTCCCCCCTCACCACTCTCCCCCTCACCACTCTCCCCCTCACCACTCTCCCCCTCACCACTCTCTCCCCTCACCACTCTCCTCCCCTCACCACTCTCTCCCTCACCACTCTCTCCCTCACCACTCTCCTCCCTCACCACTCTCCCCCCTCACCACTCTCCCCCTCACCACTCTCACCCCCTCACCACTCTCCCCCTCACCACTCTCCCCCTCACCACTCTCTCCCTCACCACTCTCCCCCTCACCACTCTCCCCCTCACCATTCTCCCCCTCACCACTCTCCCCCCTCACCACTCTCCTCCCCCTCACCACTCTCCCCCTCACCACTCTCCCCCTCACCACTCTCCCCCTCACCACTCTCCCCCTCCACCTCACCCTCTCCCCCTCACCACTCACTCTCTCCCTCACCACTCTCCCCCCTCACCACTCTCCCCCTCACCACTCTCTCCCTCACCACTCTCCTCACCACCTCTCCCCCTCACACTCTCCTCCCCCTCACCACTCCTCTCTCCCCTCACCACTCTCCCCGCAACCACTCTCCCCTCACCACTCTCCCCTCACCACTCATCCCCCTCACCACTCATCTCTCCTCCTCACCACTCTCCCCCTCACCACTCGCCCCCTCACCACGCCTCTCCCCTCACCACTCTCTCCCCTCACCCACTCTCTCCCCCTCACCACTCTCACCCCTCACCACTTCTCCCCCTCACCACTCTCCCCCCTCACCACTCTCCCCCTCACCATCTCCCCCTCACCACTCTCCCCCTCACCACTCTCCCCCTCACCACTCTCCCCCTCACCACTCTCGCCCCTCACCACTCTCCCCCTCACCACTCGCCCCCACCACTCTCCCTCACCACTCTCCCCTCACCATCTCCCCTCACCACTCTCTCCCCTCACCACCTCTCCCCCCTCACCATCTCCCCCTCACCAACTCTCCCCCTCACCACTCTCCCCTCACCACTCTCTCCCCTCACGCACTCTCCCCTCACCACTCTCCCCCTCACCACTCTCCCCTCACCACTCTCCCCCTCACCACTCTCCCCCTCACCACTCTCCCGCCTCACCACTCGCCCCTCACCACTCTCCCCCTCACCACTCTCCCCCCTCACCACTCTCCCCCCCTCACCACTCCTCCCCTCGCACCACTCTTCCCCCTCACCACTCTCCCCCTCCCACTCTCTCCCTCACCACTCTCTCCCTCACACACTCTCCCCCTCACCACTCCCCTCCACTCGCCCCTCACCACTCTCTCCCTCACCACTCTCAGTCTCCCCTCACCACTCTCCCCTCACCACGCTCCCCCTCACCACTCTCCCCCTCACCACTCTCCCCCTCCCACTCTCCCCCTCACCACTCCTCCCCCTCACCACTCTCCCCCTCACCACTCTCCCCCTCACCAATCTCCCCCTCACCACTCTCCCCTCACCACGCTCCCCCCTCACCACTCTCCCCCTCACCACTCTCTCCCCCTCACCACTCTCCCCCCGCACCACTCTCCCCCTCACCCCTCTCCCCCTCACCACTCCTCCCCCTCACCACTCTCCCCCTCACCACTCTCCCCCTCCCACTCTCCCCCTCACCACTCCCCCCTCACCACTCTCTCCCTCACCACTCTCCCCCTCACCACTCGTCCCTCCACCACTCTCCCCCTCACCACTCTCCCCCTCACCACTCTCCCCCTCACCACTCTCCCCCTCACCACTCTCCCCCTCACCACTCTCCCCCTCACCACTCTGCACCCCTCACCACTCTCCCCTCACCACTCTCCCCCCCTCACCACTCTCCCCCTCACCACTCTCCCCCTCACCACTCTCCCCTCACCACTCTCCCCCTCACCCTCTCCCCTCACCACTCACCCTCCCACCTCACCACTCTCCTCACCCTCACCACTCTCCCCCTCACCACTCCTCCCTCCCTCACCACTCTCCCCACCACTCTCCCTCACCACTCTCCTCCTCACCACTCTCCCCCTCACCACTCTCCCCCTCACCACTCTCTCCCTCACCACTCTCCCCCTCACCACTCTCCCCCTCACCACTCTCCCCCTCACCACTCACCCCTCACCACGTTAAGCGCAATCCTAAAGGAATCTACAACCTTCGATTCGTCCTTTGTGCGATTCAAGGAATCGATTTTTGGCATGTTGGGGATTTACATTTTGAATGACAGAGTTTTATTTTCATTGATATGTTATGTTTTAATGTTTTCAGGAGTTTTTAATAACATTTTTGCCCCGGTCAACGCCGGATATTTCCCGTTCGTAGCAGTTTATATCGACTTTAACCAACTTAAAGTAAACGGGAATCGTCCGAATCTAAAGGAATCTACAACCTTCGATTCCTTTTCGCGATTCAGAGAATCGATTCTTGGCGCGTCGGGTTTAAAAGTAATTAAACACTTGTATTTTCATTGGTATGTAATGTTTTAAAGTTTTCAGAAGATTTTAAATGTATTTTCCCCCCGGGCAACGCCGGGTATATCAAGTTTATACCACAAAGTCGTCGCTTGACACGGGTGGGGTGTCGAGGCCTAGTACCGTGCAGAGCCTCCGGCCTTGCCTAGATTGCCTACCCGGCTGAGGGTGTGTACTGGGGCCAATACCCCCCCCCTACGCGCTACAATAATACTGTCTAATCGCTATAATTTTATTATCTACCGACCCTATAATAGTAATTGCACACATTGGGGTGGAAGGGGAGTGAAGAGGACGTGAAACTTTGATGAATTTACCTCAGAATCGCGTGTTAATGCGTGCGCATATTTTAACGGGAATTCAAAATGGCGTCCACCCCGCAGCGAACGCGTCTCTACCCGTTGCCAGGGGCAACCGCCGTGGTCCGCGCCGGCCGGCAAGAGTAAATAATTAAATAAAGCGTTATATAAATAAAGATAAATCGCTCTAAATCGATAATCGGTCCGATTTAAAGTTTAGAGACGAAAAATCGGAAATGCCTAAGTTTACCGCGGGGCCGGGGGCGTGCCCACCTGCAAAATTTAATCTCTCCGAACCCCACGGTCCAAGAGCTACATCCCCCGGTAGGGAGCGTACGCGGACGGACGGACGGACGGACAAAAAATGAATTATATAGGTTAGATAGATCCTGGATGGACCAGGCACCCACATTAGTACTGAACAGCTACACAAGAGAACAAGCTACTGTGTTAAATAAAGGCACATCGTGTAATCATCACACTGCATGCCAAATGTGCAGCACTACATAGAACACTGAGCTGTGGATGAGACATTTCGTCATCCTTGCTCTCAAGATCGCAATAAAGTTACTTGGGTACAAGCTTGACTCGACTTATTCGATTACAAGTAACATTCACAATAAGGCAAGTTGCAGGCTTCGTTGTTAACTAGGCCTCGTTTTTATCATAACAATTTAACAGCATTATAAAAGCATTTACGGCATTATAACGGTCAATCTAACATTATAACAGCATTCCCAGTATTATAAGAACATAAAGAACTTACAGACAATGCTTCTTAAAGTCCCACAATGTACAGTTACAGCTGGCTTCACTGGGACGCGATGTGTGCCTCCATTTTGAACTCTGTGTAATGGCGGACTGCAGCCTCGTGGTTGAAAGCCTGTCAAATCGTAAACTTCCTGGTCACGTGACCAAACTCAACCTAAAAACAGGAAATTCCAGTGTACTCACCCCCCCACTCCTGCCGTGGAGTAAAACACCAGCCGTGAGTCAGAACACGTTTATTTGTAAAATAAATGTTCATGAAAACAGGAGAGCACACGAATACCGCGAGGATGTCCGAGTCCAATGGAAGTTCATATCACAGTAACCGTTGTATCTGATGTGGTGTTACTTTAATGACTTTAGTTTATGGCAAATACAGCCCTTGAAATGTGTACGTGTCTAAATGTTGTTTTTCCCGTTGCAGTGCCTCCAACAGTCAACGTCACCATCAGCATCAACAACTCTACAGCCATGACGGTCTCATGGGCACCTATTATTATTGTAGACGTTGACAACTACACGGTTTACTTAAATGAAACCAATAACTCAACATCAGTGAAGAGCTCCGATTTGACCTCCGCCATTACAACACAAGTGTTTACAGATCTGGTTCCTGGTAGAAGTTACCAGGCATCTGTAACAGCGCACAGTGGCAGTTACTCCCAACCATCAGCCATCACCACTGCCAGGACCTGTACGTATATGCAGCCATAATCTTCATGTAATGGCATTGATGTTTGATATTCAAAACATGCTAAAAAATCGACAACATTTGAAACACTTTTAAAATGTGTCCCCAATTATTGACAACATTAAATAATGTAATTAATACGTCTTTTAGGATCGACAACATATGAAGTAATTTTCAAGAGTTAAAATGTTATGTTGCGTACTTTTAAAAGTATCGAATTAATTGTACATTTGATAATAGGGACACATTAAATCAACAGGTGTTTTATATGTTAAATTATCAAACATGTTCCGTCATAAAACATCTACAAGCTTAGAAAATAGAATGCCCAACCCTTTGCTTATGGATACGTTATTCTGTTCCTAATATCGGTATATTTTATGCATATTCTAGGTATGTTGTTGAACTTCTTAGCTACATATATAGCCAACCGTGTTAATCAGAGGTCCGGGAAACTAAATAAAATAATCATTCCACTGTACAGTATATTGATTTACTGGTGACTAACGCAACGAATAATAGGTACAGTAAAGCATATTCTCAGATTAACATAATTTATTGTAATTTATATGACCACATTAACCCCACTCTGGTCTTCGCACCTGAGAGGCTCACAGTGATGACATCACCTTTACTCTATTAAAGACAGAACCAGGAAGACTTCTTCACAATTGTGGCAAATCGCCTGATGAAGCTGGTTGTAATTACCAGCAAAACGCCAAATTGTAAATGGTGTGGGTTTAATTTCCAACACACCGTTGTGCTGAAGGAGTAACTGGCACGTTTTGCTTACGTGACAAACCTTACTAATTAGCTGTGGTGGTGGGTTTACGACACATTTATATTTAAGCTATCTAACCCAAAAATAACCTTTATTATGCATAATATTGGTGGTGAAAGCTTACTTTTAGACTGCTTATGCAATGCGGCTTGACACAATTCTGATATGAACATTGAGTGCCCTCTTTTGGAGGGATGCTAAGCTTCATTATAATCTCTCGAAGCGAGACTCATTGAGGCTCTGGCCTTTTCCAGTTATTGGGAATATCCAGCATGTAAGTAAGATAATGATTTGAACAAGTTTGTATAATATTTACACATCATAGGAGCGTGTTTGATTCATTACTTAATAGTTATGAACATGTTTAGAATTCAATACAAATATCTACGATAATCAGCCAAGAATTGCTGTACTTAACGCTCGTGACGTCACTCCACATGCCGCATCCCTCATTAATAATCATGAGTGGCTTAAAACCTTGTCACTGCAGGAATTCATATTACTTGGGTCTTTCGGAAAACTCATGTGACTTTACCGAAAGACCCAAAGAATAATCACGAGCGGGTCATTAGTTTCGATTGAATATTTCATATTAACTGCAATTTCCACCCGTCCTTGGACGGGATATAAGCTAGTTAATAAATAATTACAGTATAAGATGAGTCACCATTATTGTAAAGTAGAGGTGGAAAGCTTAATTTTACAGGATTTGGAAGGCTGAAGAGATTGTCTGACGTAATTGAAGGATTTAGTTTGATTTGTAAAATGAATATTCATGAAAAAAGCGGAGCACACGAATACCGCGAGGATGTCTGAGTCCAATGGAAATCCATATCACAGTAACCGTTGTATCTGATGTGGTGTTACTTGAATGACTTTAGTTAATGGCAAATACAGCCCTTGAAATGTGTACGTGTGTAAAATATTGTATTTGCCGTTGCAGTTCCTCCAACAGTCAATGTCACCATCATCCCCATAAACTCTACAGCCATGACGGTCTCATGGGCACCTTTTATTGCTGTAGACGTTGACTACTACACGGTTTACTTGAATGAAACCAATAACCCAACAGCAGTGAAGAGCTCCGATTTGTCCTCCACCATTACAACACAAGTGTTTACAGATCTGGTTCCTGGTAGAAGTTACCAGGCATCTGTAACAGCGCGCAGTGGCAATGGCTTCCAACCATCAGCCATCGTCACTGCCAGGACCTGTACGTATATGGAGCGTTCATCATCGTGTAATCGCATTGATGTTTGATATTTGTTCAAAACATGCTCAAAAATCGACAACTTTGAAAACACTCGTAACATTTGTCCCCAATTATTGACAACATTAAATCACGGAATTAATACGTATTTAATGATGGACATCAATTAAGTAATTTCCAAGAATTAAAAATATTACGTTTGTTGCGTACTTTTAATTGTACATTTGATAATCGGTACACATTCAATCAACAGGTGTTGCACATGTTAAAATTATCAAACATGTTCCATCATAAAACATCTACAAGCTTAGAAAAAGAGAAAGCCCAACCCTGTGCTCATGGATTACATGAATCTGTTCCTAATATCGCTATATTTTATGCATATTGTAGGTATGTGTTGAAATTCTTAGCACCATATACAACCAACCATGTTAATCAGAGTTACGGGGAAGGCCAACAAACTAAACTAAATACAAAAATCATTCCAATGTACAGTATATTGATTAATGGTGACAAATCCAACCAATAATAGGTACAGTGCTGCATATTCTCACATTAACATAATTTTTTTAAATTTATATGATCATATTAACCCCACTCTGGTCTTCACACCTGATAGGCTCAAAGTGATGACAATACCTTTATTCCGCTATTTAAGACCGAGCTAGGAAGACTTCTTCACAATTCTGACAAATCGCCTGATGAAGCTGGTTGTAATTACCAGCAAAACGCCAAATTGTAAATGGTGTGGGTTTAATTTCCAACACACCGTTGTGCGGAAGGAGTAACTGGCACGTTTTGCTTACATGACAAACCTTTCTAATTGGCTGTGTCGGTGGTGGTGGATTTACGACAAATTGATATTTTTTTTCGATTTAAAGCTTTCGTGACTGCAGGGATTCATCTTCTTGGTTCTTTCGGTAAAGTCACGTAGAAGGGAAGTAATAAAATACAAAAAATAAAACATAATAAAATAATTCTCACGACGCTTCGGCCACAACACAAGCAGCCGTCCTCAGGTGGAGAACAGGTCCGTCAAGTAGACAGAGTCTGAATGACACGCTCCAGGCTTGGAGCGACTATTTATGCTGAGATGGAGGGGCGAAGAGCGTCTTGACAAAATAATTTGCATATCAAGAGGAATTTAGCATTTTAATGAAAATGCAGATATGCGATTAGCATTACTTTTGAAATGCGTACGCATTTCAAAAGTAATTCCTCTTGATATGCAAATTATTTTGTCAAGACGCTCTTCGACCCTCCATCCCAGCATAAATAGTCGCTCCAAGCCTGGAACGTGCCATTCAGACTCTGTCTACTTGACGGACCTGTTCTCCACCTGCGGACGGCTGCTTGCGTTGTGGCCGAAACGTCGTGAGAATTATTTTATTATGTTTTATTTTTATTATTTTATTACTTCCCTTCTACGTGACTTTACCGAAAGAACCAAGAAGAAAAATTTATATTTATACGCTCAAATCCAAAAAAATTCCTTTATTACGCATAGTATTGGTGGTGAAAGCATACTTTTAGACTTCTTATTCAATGCCGCTCGAGAGAAGCCTGCCATAAACATTGAGTCCCTTCTTTTGGAGGAATGCGAAGCTTCATTATAATCTCTCGAAGCGAGACTCATTAAGGCTCTGGCCTTTTCCAGTTATTGGGAATATCCAGCATGTAAGTAAGATAATGATTTGAACAAATTTGTATTATATTTACACATCATAGGAGCGTGTTTGATTCATTACTTAATAGCAATTGATATGTTTAGAATCCAATACAAATTGATAAATGATTACAGTAAACAATGAGTCACCATTATTATAAAGCAGAGGTGGAATGCCGAAGTTTACTGGATTTGGAAGGCTGAAGAGATTTTCTGACGTAATTGAAGGATTTAGTTTGTAAAATAAATGTTCATGAAAACAGGAGAGCACTCGAATACCGCGAGGATGTCCGAGTCCAATGGAAGCCCATATCACAGTAACCGTTGTATGTGATGTGGTGTTACTTTAATAACTTTAGTTCACGGCAAATACAGCCCTTCAAATGTGTACGTGTCTAATTATGGTATTTGACGTTACAGTGGCTCCAAAAGTCAATGTCACCATCAGCGCCAGCAACTCTACAGCCATGAATGTCTCATGGGCACCTAATTTTACTGTAGACGTTGACTACTACATGGTCTACTTGAATGCATCTAAAAATGTAAAAGAAGTGAAGAGCTTCAATTTGACCTCCACCCAAACATCACAAGTGTTTACAGATCTGGTTCCTGGTAGAAGTTACCAGGCATCTGTAACAGCGCAGAGTGGCAATGGCTCCCAACCATCAGACAGCGCCACTGCCAGGACATGTACGTATATATGGAGCGTTTATCTTCGTGTATACAGTTTGATGTTTGATATTTGTTCAAAACATGCCAAAAAAATCGACAACATTTTAAACAATTATTAAATTCGTCCCCAATTATTGACAAAATGAAGTAACCGAGTTAATATGTCTTAAATTAGGGACAGCATATGAAGTAATTTCCAATAATTAAAAATACTGTATTACGTTTGTTGCGTACTTTTAATTGTACGTTTAGTAATCAGGACACATTAAATCAACAGGTGTTGTAAATGAGAATAGGTTTTTCCCTTGGTCTGGCAACAACACAGGTGTTAAGATGTTAAAACACCAAACTGAAACCTTTTACAAGGAATAATGTCTGCGGTAACCACAAACCTTATTAATTGGCTATGTCGGTGGTGGTGGGTTTACGACACATTCATATTTACGTGATCAAACCCTCAAAATAACCTTTATTATGCATAATATTGGTGGTGAAAGCTTACTTTTAGACTGCTTATGAAATGCGGCTTGACACAAGCCTGATATAAACATTGAGAAGCCTCTTTTGGAGGAATGCTAAGTTTGATTATAATCTCTCGAAGCAAGACTCGTTGAGGCTCCGGCCTTTTCCAGTTATTGGGAATATCGAGCGTGAAAGGTAATGATTTGAACAAGTTTGTATTATATTTTCACATCAACGGAGTGTGTTTGATTTATTACTTAATAGTAATAAACATGTTTAAAATGCAATACAAATTTATGAATATTGACAGTATACCGTGAGTCACTATTATTGTAAAGCAGAGGTAGAAAGCTGATGTTTACTGGATTGAGAAGGCTGAAGAGATTTTGTGATGTAATTGAAGGATTTAGTTTTGTCTCGGCCTCGCTGTGCACTGCGTTGCACCACTATCCGAGTAGTTAACCTCGCATCCAATAAACTTTCAGAGCCAGGGTGAACATCCGACTCCAAACGTATTTAATGAAAAGAACGAGGTAAAACGGATGGAAAAACACAGCACAGATACAGCATCTGTTAATACTTGGAGATATCAATACAATGAATGAACACTACAGCATCATAACATTGTCTTAGATAACATGTTTATCAACAATAGATCCTGGATGGACCAGGCACCCACATTAGTACTGAACAGCTACACAAGAGAACAAGCTACTGTGTTAAATAAAGGCACATCGTGTAATCATCACACTGCATGCCAAATGTGCAGCACTACATAGAACACTGAGCTGTGGATGAGACATTTCGTCATCCTTGCTCTCAAGATCGCAATAAAGTTACTTTGGTACAAGCTTGACTCGACTTATTCGATTACAAGTGTAATGCGGGCGTGAACGACCTCCCGGAGGTGACGTCATGAGGGGAGGAGTTAGGTCACGTGGGGGAGAGGGGTCAGGTCTATAGGGAGAGAAACCGGAAGAGGAGGGGAGTGACGGGAGACTAGGAACGAAGTAGGCCACGTAGGGCGAGAGCGGGAGTTTAGCGAGATCGCCATGTACGCGGAGAACGAGGTTCGGCACCGTCGGCCAACGGTGACCGACCCGGAGCAGCGAGGAGGCTACAGGTGGCAGCGGGAGTCTGCACGCGGAGTTGGCAGCGGGGGTCTGCACGCGGAGTTGGCAGCGGGGGTCTGCATACGGAGTTGGCAGCGGGAGTCTGCACACGGAGTTGGCAGCGGGGGTCTGCACACGGAGATAGCAGCGAGTCTGCAGGGAGAGGAAGGAGGCTACAATAGTGATAGCAGCCGGGGGCTGCAAGCAGAGTATCTCTAAGAGAGTGCCGTGAGGGTAAAGACAAGAACCCGAATAAAGGACACGGAGTCAGAGAGAAGCGTCCGAGTCCTTTATTACACTGGAGTCAGAAGTGAAACGGCATGGCGAAACAACTCAGAAAAAAGAATATTCCGTCTCCGGCATCGGCTTCATCTTCCGACGATGAGGATCTTCCTCCTGAAGTCGGCCTGACTCTGGCAGAAGAAGAGATCCGTGCTGGGACGAGTGCGGGTCCGGGGGTCCAAGAGGTCGTCGTGTCGGCGGACCCGTCTGCTCCAAAGGACGCGGATTCAAGATGGAGCCAGATGGCGGAGCAACTTGTAACTCTCAAGAATGTCATTACTCAGTTGTATGAGCTTGTCACGCCGAGGGCGGCGTCGGATGGAGATGTTGGTGGTCCGCAGGTGTCCGGGTTGTCTTCGATGTCGCCGCCATCGGCCACGCGGCACGACGACGCCATCTTGGGCGTGGCGCACGACAAAAAGCGGGAAGCCGCCATTTTGGGACCTCCACGACTGCCAGCCGCCATCTTGTCGACACCGCGTTGCGACGCCATGTTAAATTTGCCACCGGAGGAGCCAGCGGCCGGAGGGAGCAAGCCAAGGAGTCGCAGTCGTCACTTAACAACTGTCAAGGAATTCTCCATCGGGGGCGATTGGAGTGTGTTCGCCTGTAGATTTCTGGCAGCGGTACGCTCAGCGAGGTGGACGGACGCCGAGGCACTGGAGGTTCTTCCGACCCTTCTCGATGATGAGTCCGTTCGTTTTTTTCGCTCTATAAAAGCCGCGAAGAAGAAGACTCTGCGAGGGGTGTTCGACGAAATGGCGGACGCGTACGAGCCGCCGGATGATCCCCATCGCCGGTTTGTGCAACGACAACGCGCACCCGAGGAGTCACCGGTTGCGTATAGGGGCGCGGTGTTGGAGCTAGCTATGGCCGCTTACCCGGAGACGGAGCCCGACCTGCTGGAACCTCTCATCCTGGGGAAGATGTTGGAGTTGTCCCGGGATCTCGGCATTCCTATGCCGGTGTGCGGTCATGAAAAGCTCACGTCCCGGGCTGCGGCGAAGTGTCTGGACGCCCAGTTTAACCTTCGCCGCTGGAAACAAGTTACGGCAGGGGGTCCTGTCGTCGAGGGGGGTGCCTTAGGGTGGGACCCTAAAAAGGCCGTGTACGTGCCGGATGGGAGCAGCCAGCAGGAGCTGTCAGCTGCCTCCGCTCCATGGCCGGCCCGGGGTGGGCCGGGGCCGCGGGCTGCGCCGCCGATACGGCCGCGTCGGGACGGGGTGCCCGCCGCGCGCCGCAGCGACATCGAGTGCTTTCGCTGCGGCCGTCGGGGCCATTATGCCAGGGACTGCTGGGCCCGCGTTCCGGGTCCGCCCCAGCAGGAGGCCTCGACAGCGGACGCTCCCAAGAAAGACTCTACAGCACAGGCAAGTCGGTGCGCACCAGACACCCGGCAAGGCTTGACACCTCACTCATCGCCGTTGTCGTGCGAAGCGGATGTTGTTAAATACGGGAGGCCATTATCTGCGCCTTGTCGCTCGGTAACGCAGTGGCGCAAGTTGGCTCGGCGGGTTGTCGCGGCCGCTACCGGTTCGTCCACTGTACCCGGGTCGATCCAAGGGGTGGACGTACGTATTTTGGTGGATTCCGGTGCGTCTGCGACCATCAATTCGGACGTGATATTCCACCTTTTGAACATCCCACCAGGGGCCGTGAGTCCTGCTTACGCTTCTTGCGTCGCTGCGAACGGGGGTAGCATGGGCATCGTGGGGCAGGTGGACGCTAACATATCTATCGGGGGAGTGTCGGCCTCGGGAATTGTGTTAATTTCGAGGTCCCTTGCGGTTCCTTGCCTGTTGGGTACTGATTTTCTCGCTAAGATGCCCATTCTAATTCGAATCAATGAAAACTGCATTGAATTGCCGGGGGGCCGTAAAATGGCATTTTTACCGTCCGCCTGGGGGCGACCTGCTCCTGTCGCCCAGGTGCAGGCGTTATCGGAGGTTTCTGTTGATATTCCACCTGGCTCACAGATGCTTATCCCCTTACGATATCGGAAGCCTGTGCCTGGTCGGCAGGGAGCTTTTGGGGTTTTGCTGTCGCCGTCCGCCGCTATCACGGGCGGATCGGCGCTGGTGGGGGCGCAAACTATTGTCCGGCCAGATCAGCGGCCGTTTTTGCAGGTGCTTAACGCGAGTACCGAAAGCGTGTGTGTTCCGGCTGGTACCGTTGTGGCACATGCCACTACGGCGTTTACGGCTCACAGTGATCTGTCCAGCGGGGGGCTGGTTGGGGGTGTTTCACACGATGGAGCGGTGGATGATCGTTGGATTGCTGAATTGTGTGGGGAGAATTCAGCCCTTTCCGGCGAACAACGTTGTGCGATTCGTAAATTGTTATCGTGTTATTCGGATGTGTTTAGCTCCGATGATTTGGACTTGGGACGCACCTCGCTGCTTTATCATCACATCGACACAGGGGACGCTGCCCCTATTCGCTTAAACTCGCGTCGGATGAGTCCGGCTGAGCGAGAGCATGTTCGAGGGGCAGTGGATGACATGTTGAAAGCGGACATAATATCTCCGTCTAACAGCCCATGGGGCGCGCCGGTTGTGTTGGTTAAAAAGAAGGATGGCAAATTGCGATTTTGTGTCGATTTTCGTAAGTTGAATAAAGTGTCGGTAGCAGATGCGTACCCCCTGCCGCGTATGGACGATTCTCTCGACGCCTTGTCGGGGGCCAAGTTCTTTTCAACGCTAGATCTCTCTTCGGGCTTCTGGCAGCTCCCCCTTGACGAGCTCTCGAGAGAAAAGACTGCTTTCCGTACGCCGCAGGGGTTATTCCAATTTAACTGTCTTCCGATGGGGTTGAATGCGGCCCCTGCCACTTTTCAGAGGTTGATGGAGTTGGTATTAACGGGGTTGCAGTGGGAGACATGTCTGATATATTTAGACGATATTATCGTCTTCAGCCGCACATTTGATGAGCATTTACTGCGGTTGGAGGCTGTATTCACCAGGATGCGTTCTGCTAATTTGAAATTCAAGCCAAAAAAATGTCACCTACTGCAACACTCCGTTCGATACTTGGGGCATATTGTTAGTGCGGACGGGGTGGCCACAGATCCAGAGAAAACTGCGTGTGTCCGGGATTGGCCAACCCCGGCCACGGTGGGTGATGTGCGTCAGTTTTTGGGGTTCGCCTCTTATTA